TCTCAATATTGATTTACTTTAACCGGTAAAAACATTATATGGCACATACATATTTTAAAATATTATGAATATTTTTGAATATTAATATTTTACATACTCATAACTTACTTAGAAATTGAATGATCTGCAATATTTGCTATGTGATATGTGTGTAAGATGGAAAAACACATTTTCTAGGTACGACGTCCTCTTAATTCTTTTAACAAATTTCTTGAAATTCAATAGACTATTTATATTTAATAATATGGCGTACTTTGTTATCGCATATCTAATACATAAGAACAATTATTATTATTATAGTCAACAAACTTGAAATACTGCTTTAGTGAATGATGTCATTGTGGTTAATATTAAATATTATTACTTCAATGGTACTCGGCTCTATTAATTATTAGTTTATTTATTGTAATGTTTGTTTTTCTTTATTATTATATTATTTAAATTATAACTGGYCAATAAAATTTAAATAGATATCAAAATCGTAAACAAACTTTGTTTAAAGATAAAATACAAATTATTTTATAAATATACGTACCAATATTAAAAAAGTAATAATATGAACTTAGTTAATATAATTTTATTTCATTGATTTTTAATTTGATATTAATATAATCCATTAAAACGTGAAATAGTTTTAAATTAATTTAAAATTTAATTATATATTTTTACGATTTTGACTACATATTTTGATACTTTTTACTTTTTAGTGCATAAAAATCCACGCTCTACAGTTATAACCTAAATGACACAATTTATGATTATAAAATGTTGAACACTACCTATAGGAATTGGTTATATAGGTACCTACACAATATTATTAATATAATATTACATATTCAGATATCCAAGAGCCTAGAGTGACAAACCATCTCCACTCAGAATCGTTTTTCGTATACAATGATATTATATCATTGAATACAAATTTAATACCATCCATCACAGTAACCCACTTGTAACCTATACTGTATAGCATAGCGATATCCACTTACCCGCTATTATTGTTATCGTTTTAGGACTTGGAAGAGATATTTCCAGTAGCATATATCATATTTTAGGAGAACATAGTAGTTGTGCTTAGTACTTCTACTCTGGATCAAAAAATAATGAAGAAACAAATTTGGTACCTGAATTAGAGAGAACGGGGTAATTACTGATATGCGAAATATAGTTTATAGGCTCACTATAAACACCGTTAGTTTGATAGAAAACGTAGATAGTAATCCATGTGAACAATTTAATTCGATTATAAATAAACATATTGGTGCAAAAAGAATAAATTGTACACAAGGACACAACTATCAGACTAGAGTTTAAGCATTTTTCAATCAAATTAAAACTTAGTTCATCAAATCCTGATTATAAATCACTGGTAAGTGGTAAGTCGAATGATACACCAGCATTCACCAATGCATGGATGGTTGTTATGGTACATTGGTACCTGCAAGCTTCATCCGAGGGCCTGAAAAGGTGGGTGCCTGCCACGTTCGCAAAATATGGAGTAGGAATGGGGGTACAAAATTTGATATAATTAAATTTGAAAATCAARGGAGGGGGCGCAAATTTTTATTTTGCCAGAAGCGCCGCTATTGATCGGCCAAGCCCTGAGTACAGCCCCATTAAATATCGAATACAATATAGATCAATGGGTTATTGGTCACAGGAAAAAATCTTTATTTAAGACTTTTAAGTTGACCGTTTATAACTAACAATAATTG